CCTCAGCAGGCTCAGCCCAGGCCCCGAGGCCGCACCAGGCGCCCTGCAGTTCAGGGCCCTCGCCTCGCCCCGTTGTCCAAAGAGGGCCTAGGCCACTGCTCTAGGGGGGGAGTTGAGTCTGACCCCGGCCCCAGAGCACGGCCCAGACGCGTGTGTGAGCCCAGTGAGGGCCAGGGAGCCAGGGCCTTCGAGGGTCCCCGAGACTTAAGGGGGGCAGGGGGCTTCACGGGTTCCCTGAGCGGGATTGGCGAGTGAGACGCTTGTAGATCGCAGGTTGGATTGGGGAGGGGTCTCTCAGACGTTGGCCAGCTGGGCGACGATTGGGGGGATTCAAGTGCTTAGAGATCGAAGGCAGGTCTTGGGGAGGGGGACGCAGACCACTGGGAAGCCTAGATGGTATTCGGGGAGGGGTCTCCGCGCCTGGGCGAGGTGCAGAGCTGCTCCTGCCCGGCTCGGGGTCGGCGGCCTGACAAGGAGCTTTTGTGAAGGGCGGGCCGGCCAGGCCAGGCCGGGAGAAGTGAACAAAGCAGGACGATCAGTGGGGCGGGGGGCTCCTGAGCGGGGGGGTCACAGGGGTGAGACATGGCCACCAGGCGTTTAACCGACGCTTTCTTGTTGTTGCGGAATAATTCCATCCAAAACCGGCAGCTGTTAGCCGAGCAAGTGAGTAGTCACACCACCTCCAGCCCTCTGCATTCACGTAGCCATGCTGCGGTGAGTCCCTGGGCGGCCTCTCCGACACACGCGTCGTGTGCACTGCGGCTCTGCCTGTCTGTCTGTCTGTCTGTCTCTCTGTTTAAAAAAAAAAAAAAAGATAAGAATAATACGGAAATGCAAGGTCTCTTGGCATCTGTAACCCTGGATGGGGGAAGGAAAAAAAAATCAGTTTTAGGTCCCTGCTCTATCTCTGCCTGGCTCTCTCTCTCCTCACTTCCGCCACCCTCCCGATTCGCCCCCCCTCCCCCTCCCGTCGTCACTGCACGACCAGCCGCCTCCAATTTACATATGTTTTAGCACGAAGATTTGGAGGCTTTCTGAAGCCTTTTTGTTTCGTTTTGTTTTCACCCCCCTTCTCCCCCCCCCCTCCTCCCGCCCCCGTACCGAGCCTCACTTCGGTTCTGATGGCCGGGATGCGTGATCGCAGACCCAAATCCTTGCAAATGCACGACACCCGCCCCCACACGAGGAAGGAGTGTGTGTGTTTTTTTTATTTTGTTGTGTGTTTTTTTCTTCTCTCCCGTTTTCTTTAATGGCCTTGAAGCCCTCTGTACCCTGTGAATAATTGCTTCCCTGTTTTTCCTGGGGGCTCGTGTGTGTGAGACTTTAAGGTGCTATTAGATTCTTCGTTTTCCATTTCCCGGGCAGGAAATTAAGCTTTTCCCTCCATTCGAACTTAAAACATAACAAAATACGATGTGTTTGTGAAAACGAACCCCAAATCACACAGGGTTTTGTTTGTTTCATTAGCCTGAACCTTTCTTTAGCCCAGCAGTAGGATCTTCATAGGGAGGGCTCAAAGATGACTGATGTTTTTGTGCGGTTTTGATGAAGGCTTCCTTCCCCTTTCTGAGCCTCAGTTTTCTGCTGTTAAATTAGGGGCGCTCCGGGGGGGGGGGCGGGGGCGGGGGGGTGTCTGGGTGATCTGAACAAGACAGTGATTAGCGGCTTTGTAAAATCTTAAATGGAAAAGTGAAGTTATGAAACTAATTGTCAGAGGGGGGTCCAGGCTGAAGACAGCTCAGGTTTGACTAAAAGCAGCATTGAAGAAAGGGAATAGAGTCACCCCCAAACCAGATTCTTGGGGATTATACTGGAAATATACAGCTTTGGGAATCGAACACTTATTTCACCTCTTAGGGACCGTATTGCCTTTTAATTCTTTTCCTTATGACATTATCTAAATGCTTCAGAAAAAAATTATGCCATGCGCCTTAATTATTGACAGGTTGTCTACATAGACAGTTTTTCCTGTTTGTAAATCACAAGTGGAAACTGTCTTTGGCCGTATGGCTCCTATAAAAAAGCTATTCTAAGCCGTGTGAGGAGTTTCAGGAATAAAATCATATGTAATCAGATCAAAAATCATAGAAAACAGGGATGGAATGTGTTTAGGTTTTTATTTACTTTGTGTTTACTTAAGAATTTGACGGTTCTTTTTTGTATTTGTAAACTGAAAAAAAAATGCTATTATACTGAAATTAGTGTAAAATGGAAACGGAGTAATTTCAGCACTAATTTTGAAAATATTCTGAAATAAGCCAGGAATTAGAGAGTAGAAATTGAATGAATAAAATTCTACATTGGAACTAAAATTTTGTTAAAGAAAATGTAAAAATTGCATGGCCCTTAAATGGCTTGACTTTATACTACCTCGGGGGAAAAAAACAAAAACTCAGCCTTGTTTCTAAGATACCACTTTTAATTGATTGAAAAATATATTGTTTGCTTTTTAAATTTTTATAAAGTTAAAAACACCTTGAAACGTTGGGAAACATGACACTTTTAAATTATTAATCATGATAATAATTAGGTCAGACAGTTTAAAAACCTGGTGTCTGAGACTGGCAGCTTTTTAAAAGTGCATCTCTAAGACCGATTTTTAAAATGGTTCTCTAAGTTAGGCAATTAAAAAAACATGTCAGCTAAGTCAAATTATTAAAAATTGATGCCTAAATTACACAATTTGAAAAAATAGATGTGTCAGAAACATATAACCTAAGTAAAATAATTAAAAATCAATACCTAAAGTACACAATTTAGAAAAATAGATATGTCAGAAAATGTACAGATATTTTTAGGCAACTCAGACAATTTCTTGAAAATAGATTTCTAAAATCAAACTGAAACTACATATCTATGTCTGAACATAAAAAAATATTTTCTGTAGTTATACCATTTAAAATGTTACATTTATTAGTCTGACTGTTTAAAAGATCAGTATAAGCAATCAGGTCATTTAAAATATTTTTGTAGTCAATTCAGAAAATCTAAAATATAGATTGGCAGTTAAAACAAAAATGGTTTGCCTATTCTAGAATTTAAAAAAAACATATTTTATAATATTTTTAAAAGTATATATATTTTATAAATATATGTATTCTAATTGTGTGCATTAAAAAACACATAGCATGTCATGCATTTCTGAAGTGTTTAGGGGTGAAGTATTCTATATGCAGTCTGCTTACAGTTAATTCTACAGAAACTATTCTGACACACACACAAAATCAAATATGGCCAGATTTTAACATGACTAAATAGAGAGTACAGTTTTTCAACTTCTGGAAGTTGGAAAAGTGTTAAAAACATTTTTTTGGGAAAAACCCTTCTCTAACAATTTTTTTTTTAAACTTTGAATAACTCATGCAACGTTTTTCACTGCATATCTACCTCCTAAAATTTTTAGATCTCATTTCTGACTGTAAATTTCAAAACCATATAGCAAGTTAAACTATATCTGTCAAATTTGAATATGGGCTGGGTTTTAGGTGATATTTTTAGGAAATTATTAATTAAACTGATTAATTGACTTAATTTTTAATTTTGTTAAAGAAGCCTGCTGAAATTTTTAGTGGTGAAATGTCACAATATCACTTATTTTATAGTTTTACACCCCCACATAAAGGAAAAAAATAAGGCAAAAGTGTTACTAATTGTAATGATCATGTTTCTAAGGTATCGGTTTTAATTGATTGAAAAACATTGTTTTTAAATTGCTTTTTAAATTTTTATAAGGTTCAAAACACCCTGAAACATTGGGTGACATAAGATTTTATTATTATTCATAGTAATAATTAGATCAGACAGTTTATACCATTTTTATACTTTTCTGTATGCTTGAAAATTATAAGTAAAAACTTAAAATATATATACATCTATTATGTTAACATGCGCAAAACCATTAAAAGAAGACAATTTGTAAATATCTAAAACTCAAGTAATTAAAAAGGAAGTAACTAAACTCTAGAGTTTAACTTAATTTAAAAAATCAGAACCTGAAATTTCTAGTTCCTAGTTAGAAGAACAAGCTGTAGACATTTATTTTGGTGTGTGTGTTTGTTATCTCCCACAACTGAAAATAAATGACATCTAAAGTAAGAGGTTTTGGTTTTTTAGTTTTAAACTTGAATTTCCACATCCTTATTTAAGGAAAATGCTGTGGAAATTGGTTATAAATTGGTGTGTGTATCCCACACAGGATGAAACAATGCATGGCTAAAACCCTATAATTCAAAACATTTAAATATGCATTTTTTGCATCCTAATTTCAGGGGAAAATAATGGAGGCTGTTTGGTGATGATGGTGGAGTTATTGTGGGTACCTATATGTGCATACTAAGACAGATTTATTCAGCATTCAGGCAAATATGTCACAGCAATTCAAGGAAATGTGCAGTGTCAAACAATAAGTCCTAGGGGCCAGAAGGGACCTAAAGGTCATTTGACCCAACACGCCTGGCTGTGATAAATCCCTATGCCTGCCTTTCTTGACCACGTTCTGTGATGGCGATAAGAAATTCCAGCAGCCGCTCAGTCCACCGTTTGTACTTGCAAAAAAATATGTATATATGTATATATATTTGCCTCATTTAACCCCAACCTGGCCTGTATTGTGCATCCTGGGGCTCTAGCCCAGGTTCTGGCCTTTAGGGTCTCTTCATTCTTCTGCATGACAACCCTGCAGGCTCCTTGTTCCCGGGAGATTTCTCTAGCTCAGCCATCCCGGCTCAGACGAAGAGGTTAAATTTCTTGCCAGTGAATGAAGTACAATTTTTTGTGTCCTTTTTAAGTTCAACACCCAGAACTGAACAAAATTCCACTTAATTGTATTCTTGGTTGTATTGATAAAAGCAGACTAATTGTTAAAAGCAGACTAGGGGTTGATTTTTAGACTATCAGCAAAGTGCAGTTGTTGGCATTTCTCATTCATTCTGTTTAGGCCTCAGTTTTGGGTCCACCATCATGGTTATGCCTCGGGGCAGCATGAAATAAAGGAAGGAGCATTGGACTCTAATTCCAGGAATTTAGGGCTAAGTCCCATGGCCCTGGCCCTGACTCAGAACGTGTCTTTAGGCAAGCTTTCAATCTCTGGCTATCTTTTGCCTTATTTTTAAATTGATGGGTTTGAGTTAGGTGGTTTCTAGTGGCCCTATGGATTCATTAATGCTTCTTCAAGTTCTGTTTTATTACATTGTTTCTTCTCTGACCAAGGCACACAGCCTTAGCTTTCAATTTGTAATGGAGAAACCCATAGTCCACAATAATGCTGCGGCCCAGTTAGCCCAATGTTACCAGCAAAAATCCTTAGAAGTAAACCCAATACTATGCAAAAATATTTTGACATTATATCAGCCAAATGCAGGTTTTAAGGTAGTACCTAATTCAAGTAGTTACAGGCAGTTTGGCTTTAAGAAGCTGAAATGAATTTACAAAGTTAAATAATCATTCAAAAAATGTTTAAGGTTTTGAATGAATGAATGAAAAGTAGATATGGAGTTGCTTTTCTGATCTGATGAGGTGCCCTGTGACCTATACGGTTTCTCTTGATCTCCCAGAATGATCTAATGGAGAGATTGCAGCTACTTTGTTAGTGTTTACTGCCTAATCTATTCTCTGCTTTAAAATAATGCACAATCTATAAATGGAAGCTAGAGTTAATTGGTCTTAGATTAGTTTGAAACAAGCACATTATTTTTAATAAAACATGGTATGCTTTGGGGGAAAAACAAAGGATTAACTATGGTTATAAGAAACCTGAGGTCCTTCAGTCTTGACTATGATATTATTAGCTAAGATTTATTGAGCATTTACTATGTGCCTAGTATTGGGCTAAGTCTTTTTGCATGTCCAGCCCCAATTTATCCTCACAGAGCTGTATCAAGTAGGTGCTGCTGTTTTTCTCATGATATAGACAAGGAAACTGAGGTTTAGAAGAGTTGGGAATCTTGCCCAGTGTCACCTAATAGGCCCGGGAGCTGGGATGGAACTCGGGCAAACCTGGCTCCCAGAGCCCTGTGCTGCCCTAGTGGGCACCATAGCACTGCTGTTTTCCCAGGGCTGATGCTGCAGATCCTGGAAATTGCAAGGACCCATTTTTTTGTTAGTTTGTTTGCTTGCTTTTTCCTTAAAAATAAGAAAGCATCTTTCTTTATCTCACTTTACAACCATATATAGTCCATTTTAACTTGCATATTGAAGGTTCTAAGTTTCAGTCCAGACTGAGTCTGTTGGGAAATTAGTTCTCTGCTTTTAGAATCCAAGTATGAAATCATTGTATATTTCTCTTTAGATCTGTTTGCTTTTTTGTTTCTAAAGATTCAATTTGAGCAGCAAGGCTTACTTGAGAATAAGGGTACTTTGTTGGATAAAAGTGAAGCAAACTTTTATTTTGGCAGTAATGGAAATAAAGTAAATATCACTATAGCATAGACTTGAATTTCCAATTCATTTTACTCAACTTTTCCAGACTTCCTGAATAAACACAGATGGGTTTCCACTTATTTTTCAGTTTTATGTAGAAAGTTCTTTAGACTATAAATTCCACATGCTACTTGGAGTTTTCAATATTTTCTTGATTGCATGCCATTGGCAGGTCAGAAACCTAGATTTAGACATTATAAAGATTTAGAAGGTGATGATGCGTAGTAATGTGTTTTCATTTGGCTGTATTTTGGTTTTTCCTCATGGCAATTCTAAATGTTTTACTTCGAGTCTTGATAAACTTTTCTGGAATTTGGTGGGGTTGGGGGTTGAAATTCTTTGTTTTTTAAGTAGCAGATTTGGGTGGGAGTGGGGTTCCTTCGAAGAGATGACCTTCTGAATTTAATTTCCGATATGCTGTAATGGTGGCTGCCTATCACTTGTAATTCCCTGAATGGAGAAGTTGGATGGTGAGGTGGGAAGAGGCCTGAACACCTGGGTCTGTCCCCATGTCAGCCCGCAGTACCAAGCTCTGTGGCTTTGGGGAAATGGATTTATACATTCTGAAGCTTGGTTTTCTTATTTGTAAAAAATAGAGTTGTATCTAGCCCATGACTCTGATCCCACCTCTTATCAGCTAATAATTGTAGAAACCAAGGATTAGGGTGTGTGCTTGGTTAATAACGGGAGAGGACAGGCGCACGTGTAGCGGAAACCTCAACCATGTTTTGCAGTAATAACACTGTTCAAAGCCGAGGCCAGAAGCCGCTGCAAAACGGCGGATGTGCACATGAGACACCGAAGTTGGGGCTTTGCCTGTGTCTTTTTCCAGTAATAAAAAACACTTAAATGCTTTGTTGCTGAAAATGTTATGTTTAAAAAATACAAACATTTTCTTTTCTTCTTAAAGTAAAAGGTAATTAATTCAGATTTCCATTTGACACTATCTTCTCTATTAATATCTTCCATCCCACAATTATGGCAGGGTGTGTAGTTCTCTTTTACTGTCATAACAAATTGTGGAAGGCACACAGAGGACGCTCAGCTTTCTATAGCATGTCAACTAATTGAATTTTTACATAGAGGAGTGTTTAATTACATTTTTATTGCTCTCATTGTTTAATATATTTTGGCTCTGATAGACCAGTTTCATTTGCACTATTAATTTTTAAATAGGAAGTTATGTTTTTGTGTGTGTTTTTCTGAATTTACTGCTAAGCATTAAAAACAATCAACACAGTTGATTATTGAAATTCATCATTAATTATTTCAGGGATCAATACTGTGAAGAAAAAAAAAGAGCTAGCTGCTTAAATTATCTATCATTAGTATATGTCAATTCAGAAGATGGAGTTCCACGTTGATCTGAAAAAGAACCTTTAGTTTTCAATTGAAACTTAATTCTTTGGGTGCCGGGGCTGCTTCCTTCCTACTACCCCTGAAAATTTTTTTTCTCCTTCCCTGTTTTTGTTTTGTTTACTTGCTTTTATAATAGCTTTATAAATAAGCGTGCTTTCTAGACTAATAGTAACATATGCCAAGCAAATGGGGAGAGTTTTTCTCTGCTTTTACCACCTGTGTCTCTCTCCGGGGAAGAGCGGTTTCTCGGCTTGCTTGTTACCGCGGGGAAAGCTCGGGCTGCGGGATTGAATTTGTGCAGACCTCACATATGTGGTCACTCAACTATTATCTAAATACAGCCATCGACAATTTTTGTTGGTTGTTCATTTTCTAATTTTGCTGCATTTGCAGGGCTGATTTACATGTTAAAATATACATGCATTTGACACGGTAAAATTGCATTTCAGCGTTGCTCTCCTATTTTCTCTTCCTAGGGGGAATTTAGAATATTGTATGTAATAGTTGACATTTATGAAACAGATGAGCATTACATTTTAGTGAAACTAAAGCAAGTGTGTTTTACTTGTTTCTATTGTGTTTTAATTTTTACAACTATGCATTGTATGTTTCCTATTACTTCCAAAACAACAATCACAGTAAATAAAAATAAAAAACATATTTATGTAGCTTTTTTATAAAAAAAAAAAAAAAGGAAGAATCATAGTGGGGAGATTGTTTAAATGCCTTGGTTAGTGGATCTTTATTTTTAGTCAGCTTTAGAGTTATTTTAAATCTCAGTGCTTTCTCAACTGACCATACCTTATCTGTCTGTCTGTCCCCATCCTGCTTTCTCTTTGCTGTCCCTAACTGGATGGGACTCTTGGGACCGACATATCTCTTCAGGAGCTGGATGAGGTATTGTGTTTTGAATATTTTTGTATGTTAATTCATGAAATTATGCCTGTTTTTCTGAAGTCTCTGGTCATATATAAAATGCTAACAGAGCTCACACACATTTTAGCATTTGTTTTGATTACTTAAAATTGCTGTGTTTAATAATTTAACACCTAGGATTTATTGAATATATTTTCACACCAGGTGAATTGATGATTTAGAGAAAGGCTGGGAACAGTATTTACTACTCTTGGGAAAGTGACTCAACTTGGGAAGCAGGACAGGTTGAACATTTCCTTGAACTTATTAATAAGCCAAGTTGTTTTTAGGGTCATGAGTGTAACTGCCTTGATTTTCTGAGAAGTTGCTCAGGTGGAGTGTGAAGGACCTGCTTCTGGGGAAAACCCTAAGGGAAGAGAAGGAGGAAGGAGGAGGCCAGCCACTGCTTCTAAGGGCTCTTCAAGGTCATTGCTGCCTTGACTGGACAGATCACTCAGGATCCCCTCCCTGCCCCCTAGCTTAGTCTCCCAGAAGATGGGGAGAGGACATACCCATAGGGCTTTGTTCTAGTAGCTTGTAAAAGAGTTGAGGAAAAGGGGAGTTGAACTGAGCTTGTTAATTTTGTGTGCTTCTGTTACCTGCTTCAGTGATGAAGGGGTAAAAATGTTTTTCCTGAGTGTAGACCTTTTAGAAAGAGTAATTGGGGGGAGTGTTGTTTATTTTGGTTAGATTAATTTAGAAGAATGAACAGTGAGGTGGGATTAGGGCGACTGTCTTCAAAAACAAGGAGGTTCCTCATTTGTAGATTAAGATCTACCAGTAAGTTCTAAAAACTTTAACTAGTTGATAATGACCATAGACTGGCACAACTGAGTCCCTCCCTGAGAACTGGCTAAGTACATCAGCATCTCTACTGCTCTTCCAGGTGTGAGGCGGCAGCCCAGTGAGCTCCCCATGGGCGCTCAGTGCCAAGGGTCTGATGCAAAATAGTGTGGACACTGTGAGGCCCCCCTCCTTTTTTTATGTTTAAGAAAAATAACTCACATTTATGCTTGTGTGTTCATAGAAACTTTCTGAGAAGAGACACAAGGAACTGTTAACAGTGGATACCTTACAGGAAAAGGCTGGGAGGGAAGAGAAACTTCCTTTGTATTGCAAACTTTTTCCTTAGGTTGGATATATATTTTTTAACCACCTGCAAGTATTACTTGAGTCATTAAGAAACAATTAGTATTTATAAAGAAGCCCTCAGCTGGTGGCTCACTGAGCCCCGTGCCATGGCCATGCCTGCCTGAGGAACCTTCCTGCCTGTACCGCCTGGGCACTGGGCCCAGAGAGGTCAGAGGTCACTGCAGCTCACACACAATGAACCTCAGCATCTCTGGGTCACAGCAGTCGTGGTGGGTTTGCTGACCAGACACTTGGGACATGGAGAGCAGGCCTTTTAGAGCAGATGTTACCCCTTACTGCACAGCTTGGAAACGGGTCTCATGGTCCCAGAAGGAAGTTTATGATGGGAGAAATGATGACCACGGAACAGCCTTCCATTGAAGAAGCACTGAGTACTTGTCACACGCGGGGCAAGCACAGCTGTGGTCACCCTTAGCGGTCTGCCATCTGACTGGTCTCAGGCTCTCCCTCATCCTCTTCAGGCATCAAGCTCCACCGCCTGGCTGCTCACGGGACGAGCAGACCCGCTGCTTGGCCTACTCTGAGCTTCTGGGTGTTCGGAGGGGACCACATTCTGTGACCAGCGACCTGAGTGACGCCACTTTCTCCCCCACACCCAGTGCTGTTAGAGTTCTCTGAACGGAGCCCAGTACTCTACTCTGGGCACCTCATCCCCTTCAGTAGTTTACTTGCCTCTTCTTGTCCTTTGTCCACAACCTTTGTGTCTTTTATGAATTAGCTTTTAGAGTTGTACATGACATATTTACTTCATTCGTTCATTCCACCCATTTGTTGTTGACTCATTCAGCTAATTATAATTGGATAGTTATGACTGCTGAGTGCCAGGTGCTGAGCTAGGCACTGGAGAGGTGCTGGGGATGGTGTCCAGAGCCTTGCTTCGCCAAGCCTGCAGGGTGCTTCAAACAGCCGTCTTCTGGGAAGAGTAAAAGTGTGGCCCCAGTTCCCGGTGTGGGTTAGATGGGAGGCCAGCCCAGTAGGTGAGGCCTGAGCCAGCTTTCCTGACTGCAGCACTTGGGCTTCCCAGAGTAAAGCCATGTGGGGCTTCCTGTCGTTTGTCCACATTAGTGGGTCATTCTACTGAAACCAACTCAAAATCTGCATCCTGGGGATACCAGCCTCGTTGTCCTGCAGAATACTGAGTGCGGTGTCCCCTAGGAGGAGGCCTCGCCTAGTCTCCAGACAGTCTTCCCTCCTGGTCTCTACTCTAATCTCGTTCTTCTGGTGACAGTCATCTTAAGAGGAGTTGTCTCAAGGTTGTGGGTTTTTTAAAAATCTGCATAAGAATATTTATCTCTTGTAATTAAGAGATAAATGTCAAACTCCCAAACCACTGTAGCCTGGGGAGGGTAGGGTGAAATAAATGGAGGCCATAGGCTGGGCTGCCTGGTCACCCTGCTGAGGGTGGCTTTGAGAAAGTCTCTGAACCCAGCTGGGCCTCACTGTCTGTGTTTGTAAAACAGGGCGTGGTGCCCAATCCCCTCTGCAGGTTTGTTGTTGGGACTAACAAAACAAAGTCTGTGGAAGTGCAGCACCCAGGTGACGCAGGTCATTATTGCTCCCTCTCAGCGTTTTGAAGGGAGTGTAGTCGTTGAGAAAACAAGGAAAGCCCATCAGACTAGCAGCATTTATATCTGAGTGCTGTGATTCTCAGATTTTTTATGTCTATAGTTTTGCACATTTAAAGCAGTGTCTATTTTGAACATTTATTGTTTCACAATCAGGAAAATAAACACTATTTTAAGAGCATCACAGCTCTAAAATAAAGTGTAGTGCTGACATTCCGATTCTCTCACCCAAGTGCTTGTTCACTCCCTCAAGGAAGTGAGGTTTCTTAAATTGTATTCGGGAAACGTATGTATACGTTTTACGTTGACTGGTAGTAAGTAGAGCGCAGGACACGTATTAATACGGTTTTTTATAGACTAGCAGTAGAATGTGGGTAACATATAAATACGTAAACTAAAGTTATCATAATTTTACTGAACGTTGCCATTTGCGCAAAAAATTAGCAAAGATGGCCTGCGCCACGCGCCACCTGTTAGCGCGTGATAAAAACTACCCGCACACAATGTGTTAAGCCTAATAGTCCATCAGTGAAGTCAGGAGCCTCTGAACCCGGGAGTTATGCTTGTGCTCAGGATTGTCTCACGTGGATGAGAGAGTTACTAGGCTGTTGTTTTCAACGTCCCTTCTGGATGTTTTAAATGCTCATTGCCACAGATGATCCGGAATTGTCAGTGTTGCTGCTGATCAGCGTGCATTGTGGCTGAACCTAGTTCATTGTTTTAGATGGGGTGGGTTGTATGTGTCTGACTTTCTTAATCTCAGCAGCAGCTTTGCCATTTCCTTAATCTTACAGTTCCCTAACTCAGACATCTCGTAAAGGCAGGGTTTTATAAGTAGGAAGGCTGTATGTTTGGAACAGCAAGATTTATCAGCAAGAGCGTGTGTGCATGTGCATGTGCGCCTTCTATAGATTAAGAACTTGTCCACACAGCCTGGCACTCTCCAGGGACACAGGTGTCAGCATTTAACGTGGACCAAGGGCAAAAGATAACTAGTGAAACTAGCAAGAAGCCGTTGGGTGTGATGTTTTGAGCATCTGCTGGGGTTTTCCTGCGTTGGTGAGGGTGAGGTAGATGAGTGTGGGCTCAGATAGTCACCCCAGAGTTCTTGAAGGACAGAACTAAAAACAAAGAGACAAGAGTTCGTAAGTTCTTAATTCTCATAAGTACAATATTTTATTTAAAAAGTTTTCTTGTTTAACAAATATTTTATTTTTTACTTCAGAAGCAGAAGTTCATGTAAGAAAAGCTTTAATCACCAACATCATATATCTGGAGGGAGATTACGTTGAAGTTCAGCAAGGATAAGTAAAGAGAATTAAAAATCTGGCAGGTTTTTAAAGGTCTATATTGACTAAGATGGCAACATGTCTTGGATCTTCAAAAGATTAAGAAAACAGGTTTTTAAATGGGAAATGAGATTTCTGAAGTTGAAAGGGTGATTTTGCACTTAAAATGTGTTTATGTTCATATTAGTTCCCATTTTAAATAATTGACACTTATCTTCTATTATGTTTTTCCTTCCAAAAACATACTCTTTAAAAAAAAGAAAAGAAATAGTACAAACTGTGATATAGATCACAAGCCACACCAATAAAAACATGACACATTTCTTCTGAGTCGGCTGCATTTCATTATCATTTTGAGCTGTTGCTATAGACCAGCAGTCGCCAGCCCTTCAGACCTCACGGACCACCGGTTGGCGACTGCTGCTATAGACTGTCCCAAAGGGGACAGGTTATTCCCTATTTAGTTTGCAGTCCCAAAGAGTCAGCTCTTGTGTCTTACTGGCAGGATCCTGATGTAGAGTGTGGGCAGACCAGGGCCAGCTCGGTGGGCTGGCATCTTACCACATCTAAAGTGTAAACTCAAGTACTGCTTTAAATAGTCCAATGTACTTCAACAGACTTTTCATACATGATTCAAAATTTCTCATTTGTTTCAGATAAGTTGATACTAGTTACTTTGCAGATATCTCTTTATCTTTTTAGTTTAATGTCTATTTGTAAACAGTAAAAACAGTATATCCTGAATTTAAAAACTATAAATACAAAAAATTATTATTATTACTCTAGTGAAATGATAGTGGGTTAGATAATAAACTGCCACAGTGGCAGTATTATGACCCATGACCTTAGCAATTTCAGGTTTTGCTTTGTATAAAAAGTTGGAGGTTAAGTTCAAGTTTTGCTCCAATCAGGTAACAACTCTGTGTCCAGCACCGGCTGTAGAGCTGGCAGAAGCTGAGAGCTGGGCATGTGGTTTGCCCCTTGTTCCTTGGTGAGTGTACCCTCCACAAGTCGCACCTCTGGGTGACTTTGCGGTGGGACCTCAGGAATAAACAGCTCTGCCTCTCACTGCCTGTGCCTGCCCTGAGTGGATGAGGTCTGCACCATGTCCCTACGTCCACAGTTGGTCAGAGAGGCTGCTTTTGTTGACACTTGTGTGTTCATGGGAGCCTGTCCTGTGGTTCCTGGTGGGGGCCTGTTTTGTGTTGTAGTTTTTGTTGTTGTTTTAATTGACTTTAGAGAGAGAGGAAGAGGAACCGAGAGATAGAAACATTGATGAGAGAGAAACATCATTGATTAGCTGCCTCCTGCACGCCCCCCACTGGGGATCGAGTCTGCAACCCGGGCACATGTCCTAACTGGGAATTGAACCAGTGATCTCTTGGCTCAGGGGTCAACGCTCAACCATTGAGCCACACCGGCAGGGCTTGTGTTGTTGTTTTAATCTGAGGGTGTTTATTGTCCTGATTCATTTTCTTAGCAAATTGCAATTATATTTCACGGGCCTGTCAAAGTGATTGGCAGCTGGTGGAGTGCATGGGGCTTCTGGAGTCAGCCAACCAGGTTTTAATCTGTCACTAATAGCTTTGTGGCCTTGGGCAAGGTTCTTAACTTTTCTGAGTTTCAATTTCCTCACTTACAAATTGGAATAATAGGTTCCTAGCTCACCTAGCTTTTGTGAGGACTAAAATCAAAAAAAGGTCGGTAGAATTCCTATTAGTGAACTCTTAAAAACAAACAAGATGACCACCTCTCAGACTCAGAGTCCCAGGCAGTGGAGGTGGCTGACGCACCATTTTTGTTTTAAAAACTGAAATGACGCAAATGCAGGTGACTTACTCAGGCTCACCTCTCCGAGATTCCTTCAGTATGTGATACGCACTTCCTGAACCCACAGAATGCTCTGAGGAACTGAGGAACTGTACCGGGGGTGCAGGGGGAGCATTGCAAGACCTCCAATTGCTTTTAGGGATTTTGCTGTCAGTCAACTCCCTGTTCAGAATTCAGGGCTCATTACTTGAAGGATTCTTTTGATCTCAGTTTTTCTTATGTGATATATTTCCTCCTTCATCTGTGGGTTTAAAATTTTTGTCTTGTTCCTTTATTGTTAAAAAAGCAAACAAGTATTTGCTGAATGAATGAAAACGTAAATTTAGATAAATGCAGGAAAGGGGGGGGGAGAAAAGCAATATAAATTCTTCCCCCCAATTTTGCAGCGTGGCTTAGAAAATGTACAAGTGTTTACCTACAAAGGACTTTTATATGCTGTTTGCCATCCTGTTTTCCTCCTCATTTGGATCTTTTGAAACGGGCATTTATAAATTCTAAGCTCCGGAGGGCTCCTCAAGAGCCTTTCTTCCTGCTGATTGCCTCCAGTCGAGAGAACAACTTAACCAACCCCCAAACCCATGATTTCCTTCCCGTTCTCCAGAGCTCTCTAAAGCAGGGTATTATATAGGTAAAATAAGCAACGACTATCGGTATTATTTCAAAATAAGTGAAAATGTTGTCTGTGGACATTTTACCGAAGAAAGGAAATGACAGTGTAGGACTGCATTGAGATTGTAAGGATTGCTTTTGCCAAATGGTAGATAATTTGCTAACAGTTTAAGCATTTCTTTTACACATTTGAACACATGGTTAATGATCTCATGGCCAAGTTAACTGGATCAACCATTTCCAAAATAAGCTGAATGTATGGAAGTAAAGGCTGCTGCTGCTGTTGAACTTTGCATATTGATTCCACTTACTGCCTAGTATTTTATTTTCAATTACAGTTTACATCTAATTTTATTTGTATTCATTTCAGGTGTGCAGCATTGAGTGATTAGACCAGCGGTTCTCAACCTGTGGGTCGCGACCCCTTTGGGGGTCGAACGACCCTTTCACAGGGGTCGCCTAAATACATTCTGCATATCAGATATTTACATTACGATTCATAACAGTAGCAACATTACAGTTATGAAGTAGCAACGAAAATAATTTTATGGTTGGGGGTCACCACAACATGAGGAACTATTAAAGGGTCGCGGCATTAGGAAGGTTGAGAACCACTGGATTAGACAATTATATACTTTACAAAGTGCTCCCCCTGATGTTTCCAGTGCCCACCTGGCACCTACGTAGTTATTTGAATATTATTGACTATATTCCTTATCCTGTACTTTGCATCCCAGCCTAGCTGTTTGTTTTTTACTTCTGTCTGATCACATTAATTGTTGAGTACTAAGAGGTCTTTTAAGGAGCTTTTGTTGACTTTCTAGTTATATTTCTATAGGCAGATCAAGTCAAATTTATGTTCACAAGTATGTCCAAGAAAATTAAGAACTGGTGCATGGAAAGCTAGGAAAGCAGTTCCAGTCTTAGCAATCTCAAAAGCATGTGGATTGTCAGGCACGTGCGTGTGCTCCTCCATTTCTGTACTTTCTCAGGGAGAGACACTTAGAAGGGAGTAAGCATGTGCTTAGCTAAACTGAATCTGAATGGTTTTGTAACATTCCTTTATTTCCCTGTAGCTTGCCGATGACCGGATGGCTCTGGTGTCCGGCATTAGCTTAGATCCAGAAGCAGCGATTGGCGTGACAAAACGGTTACCTCCTAAATGGGTGGATGGAGTAGATGAAGTAAGTTGAATATTAGTTTTACACTATCTTATTTATTTAAGTAATTGTGACATTAACATGTTTTAAGATATTTGCCATAAAAGCTGATTTGGCTACGCTTGAATGCATGTCCTAGGAAAACTTTAGCCTTTGGTTAATTCAGTGTGCACACCACAAGAAAGGTGTGTGTGAGAGAGAGTGAGTGATTTTGGCTTAGCAGTAACTACCTAACCATAGAGAGAAATTGAAGAAATGCGTAACATGGAGGAGTGGTATTTGAATTTCTGGCTCTCTGAATGGAACGTTGCTCATGTGTCAGGCAGCCTACAAGTTGGCTGGAGACACAACTCTACCTGGAGTGTCACTGACTGTCTCGGTGGCAGGCAGGTACCTGGCAGGCTCAGTGGAGTTCTGGTGATTTCATTTGTTTAGATCCAGTACGATGTTGGCCGGATTAAACAGAAGATGAAGGAGTTAGCCAGCCTGCATGACCAGCATTTGAACAGACCCACCCTGGATGACAGCAGTGAGCAAGAGCACGCCATTGAGATAACCACCCAGGAGGTCACGCAGGTGAGCCTGGAAGTCAGTTCCCAGCCTTCAGGACCACCTCGGAGCCGTGGCTGGTGTAGCTCTAAGGGCAAGTCTGCCTACAGTTTCACTTCCCAGTCTGAGGTTCAGGAAGTACAAGTGGAGGCTGAGCTCCTCCCGGTGTCCGCTACTAGCGCCATGTCTGGATGAGGGGGGGCGGCTTTCAGTTGTTGATACATACTACTGTGGATTAATTTAAAAAATTAAACCCAGAGCATTACTGAGTTCAATCATTTGATTTTAAAATGTGTGTAACTTCTATCATATACTAGTGTTTAAACATTTTTTGTGTTAAAAGTGGTCCTCATAATTGGAGGTTGGGAGTTTCTGCCCTAGACTGAGAAACTTAGTATCCTAGAGAAATGTGTCCTAGGAGAAAACCTCTTGTAAAATGCTAAATTTGAGTCATGTTAAGCCATATAACCAGTATTTATTTTTTTATTTTTATTTATTTTAAAATATATTTTATTGATTTCTTACAGAGAGGAAGGGAGAGGGATAGAGAGTTAGAAACATCAATGAGAGAGAAACATCGATCAGCTGCCTCTTGCACTCCCCGGACCGGGCATGTGCCCGCAACCAAGGTACATGCCCTTGACCGGAATCGAACCTGGGACCCTTGAGTCCGCAGGCCGACGCTCTATCCACTGAGCCAAACCGGTCAGGGCAAGTGTTTAAACTTTAGTGTTTACATTTTTTATTAAAGTCTTCTGGGTGCTCATGATGAGAGGGGGTTGCTGAGGAGAAGCTAGGTGAGGTACTGTTTGGATGTGGCTCCCAGCAGTGGAGCAGTGGCCAGATTCTCTTTGAATCCCTCCACACCAGGGTTCTTGTCTGCAACATGGGAAGAGTAGCACGTGCCTCTGAGGAGGGCAGCGGGGGAGAAGGAGGCTAGAGCAGTGGGGCGTGGGTGTGGGCGGGCATCCGAGCTCAGCGGGCTGCGCACACAGCGGCCTGCGTGTGGATTTGCCCTGTGCCCTGTCGGTGCTGGTCTGTCCGAGCAGAGTTTCAGCCTCACGGGGCCTCCTGGCTCGTTTCAGCTCTTCCACAGGTGCCAGCGTGCGGTGCAGGCGCTGCCCAGCCGGGCCCGCAGGACCTGCTCGGAGCAGGAGGAGCGGCTGCTCCGCAACGTGGTAGCCTCGCTGGCGCAGGCCCTGCAGGAGCTGTCCGCCGGCTTCCGGCACGCGCAGGCCGGCTACCTGAGACGTGAGTGTGGGACCGCGGCCTGGCCGCCTGTTTGGTCTTCTCTGCCGGCCACTGGTTCTCCGCTCGGCCCTGAACCATTAACTGTGCCACCCCTGTGTGACACCGGCCCCATGGAGGCCCGGGTGGTGTCATGTAGTGCATAGCTAAGAAGACAAAACTTACTAGGTGTCAAGCTTAAAGAACTTGAAATTCAACCCACACCATGTGAAAACCTGTAGCTTTCTAGGTGTTGGAATGGGGAGCTGGTAATTAATAGGTAAAACCCGTCCTAATCGTATTAAAGCTCCGTGTTTCCATAGCAACCCAGGTCTTTGAGGGGCCGGCACCTTTGTGTGTGGGAGGAGTTTCAACACTGCTTTAGGCTGGGTCTCGTGACTCTAGCAGCGGTTCTCAACCTGTGGCTCCCAACCCCTTTGTTGGTTGACCCACCCTTTCACAGGGATCGCCTAAGACCATCCCGCATATCAGATTACGATTCATAATAGTAGCAACATTACAGTTATGAAGTAGCAACGAAAATAATGTTATGGTTGGGTCACAACATGAGGAACTGTATTTAAAGGGTCAGAAGGTTGAGAACGACCGCTAGTAAAGAGATGTGATTCCAAAGAATTGGTCAGGGTTCCCTACAAACTGTTGTTTTCTTTACCACCATTGGCATCAGTAACATCCCCACATACTCCAGCGGCCTAGTCCTCCCTTCCTCTACAACTGCATCTTTGTATTTTAGTTTTGTTACTCCTAAAATTTTATTTAAGGCCATTTGGAACTCGTACTAGAGATGCTTCTAGAGAAAAATATTGGAGTTTTTTTTAATGTTTTGTAGCAGCAGTTAGATTAAATATTTCGCTCCACTTAGAGATTCTCAGATGGTTCTGTCATTTTGTCATTCACTTGGCATCAAGTGAACTATACACATTTACAGTGTCATTTGGTCTTTCACATGTTGTATGTTTATAATCTTTAATGCCCTCCCCTCCCCAAAGCTGCTGAGAATATCTCCATTTTGACTGTTGAGTTTAAATCTAGATTTCCCCTTTCTAATGGTGGAGTAGTAACCAGGATGGTTTACATATTCAAATAAAGTGAATTATCTGTGATAGGCATGAAGAACCGAGAGGAAAGATCCCAGCATTTTTTTGATACATCAGTACCACTGATGGATGATGGAGACGATGATACTCTTTATGATCGGGTATGTGAAGGGCCTATGTTCTGTTTTCTTCTCTTCACAGACCCGTAGCTTTACAGGGCGATGGACTAGTGCTGCGTGACTCGTCCATCAAGTAGATTTTACAGCAGGCTGGCGGACAGTCATGGGCCATACCTTCTTCCTTCCAAAGGCTTCAGGGAGCCCTTGTAATTCCCTTCTGGACTTGGGGAGAGATACGCATGGCTCTCCCCCAGGTTCTGCTAGCCAGGCCTTGCGTGGCCGCAGGCAGGAGGTTCTCTCCAGGCGTTCTGCTTTTACCAGTCCTGCTTTAGGTCCCGCTTGCTATGGGAATTTGGGTTTTTCCTTTTAGGGAAAAATAAGTGTTTATGTGCTTTATAGAAATGTTTTTAGGTATCATTTTCTTTAAATTATGTCTAAAATGGTACACCAAAGCTTTCTCCAGGGGGCAATCTAACATGTGGATTCTGTACTCCTTTCTACTAGGGTTTCACAGATGACCAGCTGGTGCTCCTGGACCAGAACACACTGATGGTGGAGGAGAGGGAGCGGGAGATCCAGCAGATTGTGCAGTCGATTTCTGACCTAAATGAGATCTTTAGGGACTTAGGAGCAATGATTGTAGAGCAGGTACGTCAGTTTACCTTCCTCCTCAATGGGTTTTTCTACCATAAAATCTGGTCCTTCTCCAAACTTGGTTGACTCTGCACTCCTATCAGGAAAAAAATAATAACCTCTTCGCCCAATGTATGCATGTATATGCAAATTATATATGTATACCACTTCCATTTTTCATTTTAAAACAGTAAACTTTTCTCTAGGTAAATGTCAATAGAAGTTCTTGTGTTTTCTGCCTCAGGGGTGCTTGTAAGAGGCCCTCCCTGGGGGCCTGGCAGTGCTGCCCAGGCTCAGCAGTGATTCTGGCAGGAGATAAGGCTTTCCTTCGAATTTTGGCAGGTTATTGGGTAATGGCGACTGGAACCACTAGCTTTCAAGTGGAATTAAATTGTTTGTTCACTGCTACAATCTGATTAGGGTATTTTATTATCTTGCCAGTAGGGATTTGGGTCCTGATCCCCCTGAAACCAGCTGAGAATGGAGTGTCAAGGCTACGGAAGATCTAGTTACATTAATTACTCCCGTGGTTCCCAGGGAACTGCTCTTGCTATCTCTTCTAATGCAGCGTGTTTCCGTTAAGAGCCCTGTTCTTCCATATAGCCCAGTGTTCCCTGCTCTCTGTCTGAACCAAGAGATTAAACAATTAAGAACAAAATTCTCCTTGAGGCAGATGTGAAATTTTACATGGTGGATTGGAGCTCACTGTTGTTGCTCTGATCCACGGAGACCTGTGCTGACGTCTGTAGACATGATAGTCAATTTCTAATCATAACCGGTCGAACTGAGCTAGCACTCTGCTTTCTTGAATCCCAAGTATTTAAGCAGCAGGTGGGTACAGAAGCTCGTCCTTCATCACTTAGAGCCTATTTCCACTGAACTGTATCTGTTTTAAAGCACCAGTAAGTCTGAATATGGCATATCCTATAGTAGCAAAATCCAAGACAAACCTCAGTTTATCAGTATTTCTTCCTCATTAACTAGACTTGATTGCAACCAACACCACACTCTTCCCCTGAATGCCTGACGCTGCTGGGTGGTGGTCCTAGAGCTTCCAGCGTGCCCTGGGCAGCGAGGCTCAGTCAGACAGATACTCCTGTGCATGGCGACATCGCGATCTGCATGTGGGTTCCTGAGGCCACTTCCCCACGTGCACTAGTTGATTTTCTGTCACTGTCATTTATTACCACAGGGCACAGTCCTTGATAGAATTGACTATAACGTTGAACAGTCCTGTATCAAAACTGAGGACGGCTTGAAGCAGCTTCACAAGGTAATCCCTTATCTTTCAGTGGTTGAGGATTGGAGGAACTGTTGCCACGTATCGAAAATTCATCAGGGTTGTCTTCCGTCACAACTGTCTTCAGCACTCTTGCCCGCCATCACTCAGTGTGATAGTGCGGACATGGGCGTCATGCCATCCAGAGCTGACCACGTGGGCTGCCGCCCCTTTGCTGTAGCTAGTGTTTTCAGGGCACTCACACTTAGGTTGGAAGTTATTTTCCTCCTTTTAGAAAACATTTCATTCTTTGAGTCTTCTTGTTTTAGGAAATCAGTTGAATTTGCATTTGCTGAGATATGGTTAAGCATCCTGTTTGCTTGCTGCTGACGCAGCCTCTCGTGCCGTGATACCTTTCTGATGAATTGCTGGTGGAAAATCACCCTGGAGAAGACAAAAATCTAATTTTCCCTGTTAATTACCACCGTACATCTGTGTACTTACCTTGACAAAAGAGTAGTTTGTTGAAGTGAAGTGTTATTAGCTCTCATATTCTTTGCTAATAAGGTAGCTATTTCAGGGATATTTTTGATGATATTTTTAAAAAATAAACGGAAAGCATTGTAGAACTCTGGTAATTGTTTGTGGGAAACATATCCATACGCTGCTGAGTGGCTCTCGTGTGTGATCGGGTGCATGTTTTCTCTAAAAAGAATATAATACTTCACAAAGTAAGTGCTGTCCATCTCCCCGCATCTTTGAGACCCATTGGTGTTTCTGCCACATCCTGAGCATTTTTCCAGTTCATGACTGCACTGTCCCATCCTTTTTCCCAAACCAGCCCCTTCCTCTAGCAGAGCGGCGCGGCTGTGCCAGGTCTGCCCAGGGACCTTCATGCTCTTGGTGTGCTCGTCGCTGCGCGGGGTGGCATTCGGGTCCGCCTGTAGCAAGGAAGGGGAAGGCTTGCCCTGTATGCGGAGGACTTGTTAAGCACTTAGATCCATTTGGGGTCCAGGTCTTGTTTATTAAAAGAGTAAAACGGACTTCAGTTTCTCACTCCGTAATACCCATGTTTTGATCTGCTGTGGGATTATGCATTGGTCGTGAAGTTTCTTAAAATCTAGTGAAACATGTTTTGTAGTATTACACAGGTAACGGGAAAAGCTTGTCTGCAGGAGTGTACAAATCTAGTGGGAACTAAACATTTTGTTTTAGGTTTTCCTTTATAAATCATTCTGAGAGGTTTTAAGGTATATCATTTAGTCTTGGCTTCCCTGGTGCTCTGGGTTACTTGGAAAAGTAAGCATGTTCGTCTTATCTCTCACGTCACATTGCTGGCCGTCTCCTTGGTAGCAGCTCACCTAAGGATGATTGAGCCTCCGGAGTCACTTCACACCCTGGACTCTCAAGACCTGTCTGTCCTAATGTTTCCTCCTGACGGAGGAGTGGTCCTGGGGGCAGGGCGACCCACTGAGCAAACAGAACTGCAGTCAGGTGGTGGGGACATGGAAGGACGACAGGTATTTCCATCAGTCTGTCTCCTTCTTGTCCTTCACCGTGAAATATCGGAATAGTGTCGGGGCGGGCATGCCCTTCTGGATGTGGTTAGAGACCCTCACACCTCTCTTCTTCACTGCCCCTCCTCTGGTCTTATTTCTGCAGGCAGGCATGGCGCCTGGGAATAGGCCAGGCTGGTGTGTGCAGGTGAAGCCTGGAGGTGTTGTGTCATCAGGAGCACAGGGACTTATCTGGGGAGGTGGGGGTTCTTTCTGCACTTGACCCCAAGGGGAGCACTTTCTTAGTTTTATTTCAAAGGATAAGTTTTCCTTGTTGCCATATTCAGGGAAGGTAGGAATCAAGCTGTTTGGGGCCAGCGGTTGCACATCACTGCTGTGGCACCCTTAGCCAGCAGAGTGATTTCATTATGAAGGTGCGCCTGCCAGAGGGCCTTCCTGGAGAGAGGGGTCCTCAGGGCAGTGGCAGTAGCGGCGAGCGGGAGCGGGCTCGTCTGGGCTGAAGGCTGACCTTTGCCTTCACCCTATGTCTGGGTGGCAGATCCCACACCGCATTAGTGCCTCCTGGGAGACTAGTGCCTCCTGGGAGGCAGTAGATCCAGGTCAGGGGCCCTTCCACGCATGCTGAATTCGTGTGAATTGATGGAAGGTTGTAATAAAGGAGTCTGTAGCCAAGAGGTCAGCTATACAGAGGATAGGACTGGAAACGAGTGAGGCTTGATTTTGGGGAAAATGACGGCTTTTTTCCCTCCTCTTTCTGTAGGCAGAGCAGTATCAAAAGAAGAATCGGAAGATGCTTGTGATTTTAATATTATTTGTCATCATTATTGTCCTCATTGTTGTCCTCGTCGGCGTGAAGTCTCACTAAGCGGCCTGGGGGCTGTGTGTGCCGCGTGGATCCGGGCGCCAGGGGCTGGGCTGCTGGCTGCCTGCGGAGGGCCCGGCCCCGCGTGGCCACCAGCATCTCGTGGACTCCTGCACAGTGCTGAAGCGAGGGGAGTGGGCTTCTGTTTTTCCTCCATTGTGGAGCATTTAAAGACCTTGGTACTGCTGCAGACTAGAGATGGAGCACTGTCATCAGTTACACTATCTTTTAGAAAGAGAAAATGAGTGGGACGTTTACAGCACTCCACAAGCTGTTCGATATTATTGTGAATAAGCTATTTTTCTTAGCAATCATGTCTGAGCAGCGTGTTAAAATCATTTCTGGGAAAAAAATTTTGAAAACCATCTGGTTTTTAAGGATTTGGTACCAAAAATTTATGGATAGAGGCAAAAATGCCTCTTCATCTTTCTCTCTATATTTTCCAGTTGAAAACAAACTGAGAAGTCCTTTAAGAATTTATAATCCATTCCCCATTACCTTAATTTCGCTTTTCCATCACTGTTAATGATCAGAGTAACAAAGTGTGAAAAATAAGAAACCATCATTGATGTTAATTAACACATTTAGATGGGCCAGTTAAAACAGCTTCATAAGTTTAAATTAATTGTAAATGGAGTATTCCTCATCTAAAATTTATGCATATTTTCTACTGTAAACCAAAAGGGGTTGCTGAGCAAAACCACCTAAATTTAAAAGTTGGTGATTTGAACTAACCTCGAATTAAAAGAAAGCTTGCCAGTGTCATGAATGTCACCAGAATTGGGCAGTGTGTCCCTGCACACATCCCCAGCCATCCTCACTCAATCCATTGCTCATATACTAACCACATAATGACCTGTTCAAACCAGCCACCATTTAATGAACTGTGAATTTACACAGAGGCCATTCTAAATGGGTCACCCCATTTGGGTCTGAAATTATTAACCAAACATCACTGCATTTCAAAGTAAAATATTCCACCAGAGGTGTGATTTATTGGCTCCCCCATTGCCACTTAATATGCCCAGAAAGTAGGCATGTTCCAGCAGGTGGTGGGAAGCAGGACCAGGCAGTCCCTTGTTTGTAAAGTGAGTGCGAATCAGATCACCAAAGTGGGGCTTTGTCATGTCCTTCCCTGTTATCAATATGGTGCTCAGATAGATCCCCAACTATAGAGTCATGAGGAAAGTGATGATGGCTTTAAAAACAGAAGTTGTTCATGTTTTCAGTTGCTCTTGAGACGCAAGTATAGTTTTAATGGTCTTTGTATATTTTTTATGGCTTTTCCATTGTTTTTATCTCTAATGGGTTACATTTTATTTGGACCAGTCTCGTAAAATGCTACTCTAGAATTTGACTTTGGAGTTGTTGCTAGAAATTTAAACCCCAGGCCAGAGATTCAAGTTGTCTCAGCCATTTCTTCCGAGGTTGTTGATGGCGCTGGGGAGCCACTGTTTTTTTTACGGATGTGGCCGTAGAATGATCAGCAGGTGTCCCTGGCATTTCAGGAAATAGCATGGTGTTCCCTGACAAGTATTTGTTAGGAAAGAAGGTCTGGGAATAAAAATCCAGCCCTTCCTTGATCGTCCCTGAAATGTGGGGCTTCTACAGCAGTTGAGGGTAGCTGTAGGCCTTCGTCCTCATCCCGCCCAACCATAACCCAACGACCAGCTGCTCCTAGGAGTGGAGCTGCTCAGACCAGGGGCTTCCCTCCCAGACGGTCTCTGATGGGGATACTGGATCACTGTTAAAGCTTTTAAAGCTGTCTTAACTATCCTTGAAGGAAAGTGACCCTTTAAGAAAGGGTCACCATTTATTTATATTTTCAGTGAATAGAGTGATTAGGGTTGGCTTTTGTCTCCCAACCCATTTGGGTGAAATCATGGATCTGATTAGAAGTGATTTTAAGGATCTCATTGGGGTGGTGGGACCGTCCATCCTGACTGAAATCAGGGCAATGCCAGCTAAAGCCCCAGCTGCTATGACCGTGACCTGGAGAGGGACGCAGCCTGCAGTCTGTGCGCCAGCTTGCTGGGCTCCTCAGAACACTGTCTTTCTCTGTTGAGCCTTTCCTGAGGGCAGATCAGCACAGGGGCAGTGAGAGAAGCTTAGTCATGCTGCCCTGAAGCTTCAGCTCCTTTCCTTGCTGAAGCCCATGTCTGTGGGAAGGCAGGGCCCTCCGTCTCCCTGAGTTGAGGCCAGCAGGGACACCTGCCCCTCTACGTGCTCCGTGATGGCTCTGTCAGCCTGGGCGTGGGGAGAAATGGGACCGTTTACTGTCAGGTCTCCAGAGCTCCTGATCTTACCCCAGATTGTGGCTAAAATCTACTGTCTCTGGTTTTATTAATTTGGGAGGGGGGTAGCTTCGCCATGGGCATGAAGCAGTGTTTGTCTAATGGATTGACGTCTCTCTGCTAATTGAGAGAGCATTATTTATTTGTTTTGACACAGTGCTTTCAGTGTTGTATCCTGGCTAATGGCTTCCTAAAGGTAATGAAACCCTCCCAACCTAATTGGTCAGATAAGACTTTTTTTTCTTGTGTGCTTAAATAAAGCAATTAGTGAAGCACTTCTATCCAACATGCCTTTTTTTGTCCTTTTTTTAAACTAATTTACTGTTATTGGAAACTTTTTGTACAATAAAGCAACTGTGCAGATTTAACAACATCCTGCAATCCTAGTGTTAATTTTGATGATGGGTTCATGTTTTTTTCAAACACATGGGGGCGGGGGGGCGGGTGGCAGGGTATTTGGGCTGATGACTATTTTGTACCCAAGGCCTTTGCCTCGATGTCTGAAGGTCTATCTATCTAGTGGACACTTTGAAAGGAACCAATCTCTTTGCTCTCCAGTAGACATAAAGGCAGATAATTGTCTCATGAAAATCTATGCTTTATATACATACCAAGAACCAGTTCTCACCTATTGAGGGGTCACAGCACAGAAGCACCCTCTTACTATGCTCTCCCCTCCTTTTTAACTGGACATTCTATTCCCCCAACTTCTCACAAGCCATTGGCTCTGCTCAATAATCAAATCCACTCCAAGGATAGGCATGTCCCCATGGGCTTTAAGAACATTCCAGACCAGTGATAGTGTTGAAGACCTCTATCCTGCTGAGGTCAGCTCTGTAGGGTGCGTGTGCTTCTTGCGTGGTAACCTCACGGGCTTTTTCCAACTGAGTTTTGGTGGCCCACGCTTGAAATGGTGCTACACAGATTGTACCTGCGTGCAGGTACAACCAGGCACATCGCCTATTGAGCAGAGGGCTGGAGACCCCGCGGGGCCTGGCCCTCAGGTGTGACTGGAAGGTTGGGTCTTTGGGTGGTTGCTCCTGAATGCCCCGGCGACTGTAGGACAGGCTGGGTGTAGGGTTATCCTTGTTGACAGTGCTGAACATCCTCTAAGACGGCGGTTCTCAACCTGTGGGTCTCGACCCCTTTGGCGGTCGAACGACCCTTTCACAGGGGTCGCCTAAGACCATCCTGCATATCAGATATTTACATTACGATTCATAACAGTAGCAACATTACAGTTATGAAGTAGCAACAAACATAATTTTATGGTTGGGTCACAACATGAGGAACTGTATTTAAAGGGCCAGAAGGTTGAGAACCACTGATTTAGATAATCAGGTCCCTTACTTAAGTCAAAATGTGGGAGCCACATAGAGACGTGGCTCACGTGGCTTCACAGGAGGACAGTCATTAGTTCGTGGCGGGGGTCGGATAGCGGTTTGGAGGTGCTGATTCTTTGATGAGTTATGAGTTTCCATTTCTTCTAAGACAGTTAGGCAGACTTGGTTCATTTGATGTTGCTACATTTTGGAACTTAGCACTGTGCCTGCATGTAAATGTGGGCCTTGAACGGTCAGTTTCTGTGTTAGCCTTAAAAACTAGATTTTCTCTCTCCAAACTCCCTTGACCACCCAGATGCCACCTCTTACCTTGTTGCCTGATGTTTTAGTTTAGTTTTGTTTTGAAATGGAAGGCAAACAACCCCTTTCAAAAAGATGGGTATTAGAGTGAACCAGTGAGGGCTCTGGGGGGTCGAATAGAGACTTCCAGCTCATCAGAAAGTGGCTCAGGTCTAGGACGTGGGGTCGGTGGGCTCTGTGTCCTGCACCCAACTCCACGCCGACCGTGACATCATTCTACCAGTCTGTGGTGGAGGCTTCTTACGCTGTAGGAACATTCCCAGAGTCAGGCGCACAGACTTGTGCAGTGACCTGGCCAGTGGAGGCAAAAGCAAACAGTCATTTGTCCAGTCGTCCTCATGAGCTCTCTGCACTGTCCTGAATGCTCAGGGTAATTGTGTGGGCCTGCTCTTGAGCTCGTCATCTGGGTAAAATGGACCATTTCAAGGAAACTGCATTCAACACAGTGTACATTTAGACCAGGCTTAGAATAAACCCCTGGGTTTAGTGTTTTCTGCTGGTCAGCTATTATTCTAGAATTGCTTTTAGCTAATCATCCAAATTCTGCCATTAGTAATCACCATTTCTCTCATTTTATAAAAACATGTCATAATGGAGGCTAAAGGGCTTGGGTTTGCATCATTTGTTCTCTTTCTCGGAGGAAGAGCTGAGGGAATCAGATATTTTTTTAACATGGTGTTCTGACTCAGGACACTGTAATAGGTCTCTGTTTCATCACCGCCCCTTTTCCAGATGGGTCGATGGAGACCCAGGTGTGGGCTTGCCGAGGTCACACAGCTAGTGTGACCCCGGGCTGGCACTAGAATCTTCCCTGTTCTCATGTCAAGACCAGTACTGCTTTTGCCATTTTAATTGTTCATTTCTTTGCATAAAATTAAATGACCTTCAAGAAAGATTTAATGGTCAAGATGTGATTTGGTAAAAGCTTCCTCAAGGATTTTTTTTCTATTGCAAAGATGAGACACGACTGAGGCTGAGAGAGGTTTGCAGACAGTGGTATGTCATTATCCCTCGCTCGGTTTTTCGTGTAATTGGTGCGAAGAGATTGCTGCTGGTGACTAAGCCTGCCACGGAGCGGAAAGGAATGATTCCGTGTGACGTGACTGGGTGCGCATACGTGGGCATTTGTGGCTGTTTCAAAAAAGTATATGTTATGCACAAAACGCCTACCAAAATGGATCGTGTCATTTTAACGTTGTAAATAATAAAAACATAGTCTCCAACAAAACTGATTTAACAGTTGCCCGAAAATGTAGCACTTCGTTCCCACACTGTGCCATGGCTAGAAATTGATTTTTTTAAATCCAATTAAGCCTTAAGGTTGGTTATCCATTTAAAAGGTCGGCCGAGTTAAACAATGACAGTACCTCAGTTCATGCTAATTATTAAATATACACGGAACTTCAGCACTTCCGTCCTGCCTCACGCAGGCACACATCATGTGTTTTGCACCACAGGGGCTGCGGAGGTCCCTGGCCATGATGCGGGCACGCCCGCAGACCATGAACCCTGACCTGGTAAGTCTCCGAGTGGTTGCCATCCCCATCATTCCTTCCCCTCCAATTTCTGCAGCCCACACTGGAGAGTTCTGGTCCCAGCAAACGACTCTCCCCACTCACCTCCCGTCTTCCCTTTTCTATGGCCCCAAGAGTATTGGGAAATGGAGTGTAACCTCTTACTTAAAGAAAAACAAAAGAGGGGAACTCTTGGTGTATATACACTAGGCTTCATGGGCTGCCAAGTTCATAATGTAATCGTGTTTTTAAAATAGTGCTTTATACTGTGTTCCCAGCATGTTAAGAAGAAGACTTCAAAATGTATTTTTCTAGTTCTCATAGGTAATGTGTAAGTATTGCTGAATTTACTAAGATCTTAGAACCACGACACGACCCTGATTGGAATGTCCTTTTCATTCTGCTAAATTGGGTTAGAATGTCCCTCGAGTTTCATAAATCATCAGGAAGGGTAAGTGGTGGTCTTTGCACTCTGGCATCTTAACCTGCATTGTAATGGAAGGAAGGCTGCCCCTTTTCAGTACTTTTCATCTGTGACTCTGAACTGGCCCAAAATATGGAACCTTCAGATTTAGTGAGAGAAAAAAATTAAATTCCCTTCTCATGGCCCTTAGAAAAACTAACAAATCTGGTTCATTTTTCCTTCCCCCACCCTTTCCTCACACTGCTCAGCCACCAAAACCCTTCTACTTTTTAAAAAGATCCGCATTTAGACACTACAGATAGAGGTGTTGTTTGACACAAGGTGTTTCTGGGAAAAGTGTGACTCAGGGTTTTGAAGAGTGAATCATGTTCAATGCACTAGGGAAACATCCTGCTTAAAGGACCCTGGAAGGGAAGGTTTTCTAAGGAAAAGAATTCTCCATCAAAATACACATTTGCCCTTCGTCTTGCTTTTCTATAATCTCCATTTCATATGCTGCTGTTTCCAGGAATGTGGAACCAGCATGCGGTCTGTTAATGATTTCTCTTTGCCTTCCTGTAGCACCGCCCCCTCAGGTCTTCATATGCCCTTGAAAACTTTTGCAACTACAAAAAAATAATTTTGCTGGTGTTCAGAAATAAATAGGAATTCAGTGCCCGAGACACGAGGGTTATTGCCACCTGACACCGTGCCCTTCTTGGAGAATAATTTAGACTGCTAGAATGACAAGGGACCTCCAAGAACAACTCGTTCAGCCCCCTCGTTTTATCAAAATGTCCTAGAAACGGATGTGAGAAGGAATGCTTTTAGTCATTAAGAAATGGCTCCCTGAGTACATTTTTATTAACACAGTGTCTAATCCCACTGATATTGGAAGGTAAGAACATCATGCTTTAGATGACATTACAAAATGTGCTTTTGAGGGAAAGTGCAAAAGATTGCATGCAATGAGCTATCTTTTGTGTCAGATACATGAATATATATGACCTGGTATTTTTTTAAAAAAGAAAAAAATAAAACCCAAGAATGATAAACAGAAAACTAATAAAAATGCTTCCCTGTGGAAGGATGAGTGAGGGGGAAAGGGTGGGAGGCCCAGGAGGTTCCCGCGAGCTTTCCTTTTTACAGTCTCGACCGTAGAAATGTTTTATGTATTCAAAAAATGGAAATGGAAGAGAAATGAGCACAGCAAAGCCTTACATAGTATACAGACAAGAGTACAGGAATTAGATGTACACCAGATAGACCACACCAAAACCAATAAATTCTGACTAGATCAGTGAAATGCATTCTAAGAACAGAAAAAGACAGTAGAGAAATCTTGAACTTCAGGTGTTAGGTCTATTGCCGGGAATGGAGACTGTCCGCTGAGTGTTGTAGGAACGGGTGAGTGAGTGTCCCTAGAAGGGAGATTAGGACCAGGGTTCTCACTGTGGGAGATGGAGACCGATCCGGGTGGCAGCAGGTGAGGGGGAGGTCAGCAGCGTGGGGTTTGAATTGAAGGAGTTGGTGTGGCCTCCTGAGATTAAGAAAACAAATCTTACTCCTGGCCTCTGAAAGGATCATAAACAATGACCAGGGAGCAGTGAGCTTACCTCCCACACAAACCTGGGTTTCTAGACACCCATTGTCCCAATTCACAGGACAGAGATTTCTTGAAGGAATGGCTGACTCTAGAGTTGGGCAAAGGAGGAACACAGCTGAGGGATCGTCTTAATGTTCCAGAAAGGACAGAAGTGCTCAAAAACAGATAGGAATGTTTGAAAAAGGCAGGAGCCGGCCTGGTGGGCTC